TTTGAATCCTGCTAAGCACTTTGCTTCTGATGTTTTATAAAAGTGGATTTCAAAAGCTAATTTTGCTTGGTGGAGGCAAAAAAGCACTTCCTTTTATTTGGTTTTGAATTTGTCACGTTTGCTTCACTGGGAATTGCATCACTGGATTTTCGAAGCTGAATGAATCACAAGTTACTACTTTGTCTTCATACAGCATTTGTGGTTTATGTGCTTTTATCATATGTCCTCTTAATTATCTCTTCTTTATATAAATAGACTGATCTTTTCAACTTCATCTTTCAATTTGTGAAGCTTTGTGCTGTGTCCTTAATGATGCAAATAGCTATTTCTGTTGTTCCTTTTTCTGAGACAGAATAATCAGATCCAAAAAAGTTCTTTGAGGGAATGCCCGCTTCTGATCCATCTCGCTCATCTTAATATCTTGCTGCCATTTTTTGCTTTATTTTGATTTTATTGTCACTGACCACAGGTTTTCACTGTGCTTTCCACAATGGTGTCTGGACTGTTGAAACTAGTGGTAGTTTTGCAAAAACAAGTTCATTGGGAACGTGATTTCAGCGTTAGGACTTTCTACCAATGATTTTTGAACATGATGCATACCACTCGTTCAAAGTACTCCTTACAGAATTCAGTATTTTGCATTTTCAGCATTGAATATGTTTCCTTTAGACTTCTAAGCTGTTCCTCTATCCTTGTATCCAAAGTGATGAGACAGAGTCTTTTTCCTTTGCTATGGTCATTAGAGCGCATGGCACAAAGCAGAGACTGTTTAAGTAGAAATTATCAACATGAATAATACAGGAAATTCTTTGTGCCTCTTCCAGGTACTTTTAGTAGTTTACTGTAATCATGCACCTAAGGTGTTCTTAACAGTAAACAAAAATAAAAGCATGAGTTGATAAATCGAAAGGTAGAATATTAATCTGAGCCTTGGGTGCTCAACCATCATTTGATAATGCACTTAACTGAACATTTTTTTGGAACCAAAAAAATTGAATGTAATTTTACTTTGAGTCTAATGGCAACAGTATTTAATTACTGGTAACCTCAGAAATTTATCCAGTCATGTAGCGTTTACAGATTTCTGGTTGCCCTGATGTAGTTGTTCATAAAGCACAGATATTTCAGTCCAGCCACAGATCCTCTCAAACCATCCTACAGATCGGCGTAAGAGCTTGCACAGTGACTGTACTGACTATCAGCAGGGGAAGGCTGGGCAAAGCTCGAGTCCCCTAAAGGGCGAAGTGCCCACGAATTGTGGCTATGTAAATCAGTAAGTCATTCCGAGTAAAAGAAGTTATTGGTTTTTAAGTAGGAGCCTGAAATGAAGGTTCGTGACATTTCTAATAGTGCTGTGGGATCCTGAGGAGTCTCATAACTTATTCTTAGAATTTTTCATCTCTTTAAAATTGTGTTGTGTTAGCACCAATGCTCATTAATCTTTATATTAATGATCAGCGTGGTATATAGTGCTTTCAGCAGATCCACTATTGAATTTTTCTGCCATAATGGCAGAAAAGAGTTTTGAAGAAAGGGTAACAGGTAGATTTTAATTTTTTTAATGGGAAACTTCTTCCAACCATAATGGGAAGTGCTCAGTGAAAGCTGGCATAATTAGTCTACTAAAGCAAAGAATGGATGCAAAAAACAGAAAGCACCTGAGAAAGGCTTCTCGGTAATAAGCTATTTAGCTAATGTTTGAAGTGGAGGAAGAGGAATGGGACAGACTGTTTACATCCACATTCTGGTTAAATACAAATGGGGCAAGATTATGTCAAGGCCACCAAGGAAGATATTGAAGTAATCAAGACGGGAGACGACGAAAGTTGAGACACGCTCCTGGGTGGGAGTTTCCATTGTGCATTGACAGAACAGACTACCTGGGAGACAGTTTGAGGAGCTGAACAGCAAGATGTAGACAAAGCTTGGATTTCATTCTGTAGGAAGGGTTGAATTCGATGCTGAGCACAGGATCTGTCATGCTGATGAGTGCAATTACCTGGAAAAGACTTTGAGAGGGGATTTGGAGTGGGGGAAGAAGATGAAAAATAGCTCTATTTTAACAATACTGAGTTTGCTCTGAGCTTACTGCTCTGTTGACAAGCTGTTCAAAATTCCATGGCTGCATTGAAAAGGTGAATCAGTAACTGATTGGCCCTCTGTAGAACCAATGTATGCTATAAATATTAATTTTCTTCTATAGCACAATTGTTGTTTGACACAATTACTGGTTGAAGTGTGTTTTTAAAGTTATTCAATTAAATAAGTTCTGGTATTACAGTATTATTAAAACAAATTAAAGATTTTTTTTCAAGATTGGTGTTGTGGATATTAGTACTAACTATAAACTTCCAAATTTGAAAAATACTGTGTTTCTTCAATCGGTTTACTTTTGGGAGGGGCCCTTCACGATAATGATAATAAAGCTTGGTACTATGCAATATTGTTGATGGAGCTTAGATATAGGAAAGATAATTCTTTTTTTCAACCATAACTCAGAGCTGTACTGAGTCAACAACAGCAGTAACAAATAGTAAGAAATCACAAGACACAAATAGTATGTAAATCCTATGTCTTACATATTTGCATTTGAAAAAAAACATATAAAATGTACAAGATGGCTGTTTTTGGAGGAATAGTGTCTATGCCATATAATCCTGTTATCTCATAGTTTTGGTTTTACTGTATTTTTAAATGAAAATAAATTTAGAAAAGGTAGTATTTAAAGTTTCCATGCCATATATACTCAAGATTACTATAAAACTGCTCACTTACTTTATTAAACCATTGCAGATAAGATGTGTCTTTTTATGACATACTAGTGGCTGTATTTTGACTTCAGCGATGTGTATGTTTTTCTGAGATGAAACAAATGCAAGCCTTGTTGACAATGGTAAGAGAAGGATTTGACATTCCTTGAAAACATGTTAAAGTTAATATGGTGGGATTTGATCTTTCCCTTCCTGTTGCTGTTGGTGTCAATGGAGTTAACTCATAGTCAGCTGGTAAAACCAGTTTTGGGTTTTGATTGGATATTCTAAGCTGAGATAAGGCCTCTCTACTCCTGCTGTTGCTTGGCTTGAGCGTGGGACCAACAGCTCCAGGAGCGGGCTTAGATAGAGGCAGGAGAGCCGAGCCCGAACAGTAGGTTTCCCATGGGATAGAGGGCTCTGAATGTGGCGTGTTAATGTGCCCACCTCTCACTGTGTAGTACTTCTCCAATCTCTGCAGAATACTATAATCCTGTATAGGAGGAGCAGTAAAGTTTTGGAGCTCAGCTAGGTCCAAACATTGTTCCTAAAACTATTAAAATAAGACAACAAATATTAAGGGCTAAAATATCTTCACTGCAAATAAATAGAATTGTATACCCTGCCAAATCTTATGAGCTTTTCTTAGGAGGAAGCCCTGAGATTTTCATTTAATGGGATGTCTCAGTTTAAGCTGCTAAGATCTTGCAAGGAAAACGGTGGTTTTGTCCTCTTACTGCTGGTAATCCTTACACTACAGCATTGCCAGTTTGTATCAATGGAGGAAAGTTGACCTGTTTCATCTACTTCTGTTCTTCTTTCAGGAATGAGATGAAAAAAAGTAATCATACATCATTACTAAACTCCCAATGAGTTCATGTATTGTAATCTTTGTTTCCATTTTGATACTTTAGGTCATGTATAAACAAACCAGCTTAATTCTGCTTCCAGTGCAATCTGCTTGATTTTGCTTGTTGTGCTAACCAGGAGCAGAATTATGCCTATATAGCTTATTCTAATACTGTTCACTCTAATGCAAAGGTAACAATGATGGGGAAAACATCAGTGTATCGGTGTGGGGCTTTTCTATTTAAGAAATAATTTTAAGGCTTTTTGGCTAGTGGTTAGAATTGTTGCAGTAAGTGTAGCTCTGTGTTCCTGTGCTGCAGTCTCATTGGTCTTTTTCTCCTGCTTTCTGCCTCCTCTCCCCTGGTTTTTCCTTTTTCTTCAGTAACTGTCCTACATGCAAGAGATGTCCTCTAGAACACTTGAGACTTCCAGGAATTGCAGTGAAACAGTCTGCTTGATACTTTGAGGAAAACTAGTTGGTCGTGTTGCACAAGTTTTCTCCTGAACAATTCCAAGTGTTTGAAGACTTGAGATCTTTTATTTTCAGTTTCTTTAAAAGCAGATCCCCCAAAGTGGCTCTGGGATAGATATACAATGAATTTACTTTGCAAGTGGGGAAAACAAACAGAAAGCCCAGTGTACTGTAACTACACTTGTTTGTGTAGGAAATTAAAGTGATCTCTATTTCACTCAGGTCAGCTCTCAACAGTGTACAGGAAAACAGATAATTTGCTAAAGGATTTCCTTTTCAGTTTTCAGTGACATGTTTGGTTACCATAACACTGCTGTTTTGACCTGATGAACACAGCTGTAAGGCTGAAGATTAAGTTTTAGGGGACTGGTGGGGTTTTTTTTTGGTTTGTGTGTTTTCTTTTGTTTTTAACACTAAAGAAATGCTGGTGTGTTGGTTAAACTGACATTTGTAGAGACTGTGCTAGAACGGAGTTTATGATGTGTATGAAAGTATCTAAAGAGTAGAGTGTATCAAAACAGCTATGCTGCAAGCGTTGGAGCAAATTTGTATTCTTCATAATAGCGTTTAATATTTATTGAGGAAGAAGTTACTTGCTGTGAACACAGCTCTCTGGAGCCTGGAAGCCTTCTTACCTCTAGGGAAGAAATAATATTTCAGTTTGCAGGCCATTGCATTTGTACCAGATGAGTTTTGAACAAAAATTACTGTATTATTCACTGATTGGGCATTCTTTATTGTGTGGCTGAGTAACAGAGCTGAACTCAGCAGATTTTACAAGCATCATGAAAAACAGATATTATTTCAATTAGCAAGTGCTTTTGATGTTTTTTTTAACAAACTGGTTTTGGATTAATTGGATTAATTTGGATGAATGTTAATGGATTAATGAGTTAATTAGTGCTTTCTCTTTTTGCCTTTTGATACAGGAATCAGGAACTTAAAGACTTGGGAGAACTTGCTCCTCACTGGGACAATATGCGCAAAAGTGTTATTGCTCACTGTGATCAGATGTTGAGCATGTACCAGGATACTCTTGTGGAGCTTGGGAAGCATACAGGTATGACAGTAGCCTCTCCTCTTCTGGAGCAGTTAAGAATTAACTAGATTGATTGTTATTAAATAGTGGCATATTCAGCAGAAATAAAACATAAAATGGAAGTATTTGTAATCGTCATATTTCTGAAATACTCACAGGTGCCCTATTTCCTCTTCTAAATTTTTGTCATGCATTCCATCAGTTTTTCCCAGTTAACATGGTACATGGTTACACAGCAGCCAAAAAAAAATTGGAGAAGTGGGGGTTTGTGTTTTAATTGCCTGTTCCCTTGAATATACTGCTCTGCTAGTATTGAATACCATCTGCCAATTGAGACCGGCCTTATAGGTAGTTTTGTCAGTTTTTCTTGAAACGTAACTTAAGTTGCATTTAACAGTCTGCAGGGTAACAGTAAGATCTGCTTTGCACATCCTTAGTGTAGTAGTTGTCATTGCCCGCGTTGTGCCAGAAAAGCACAGAATTAATATGGGATGGGCAGTCTGTCCTCAGTCCAAAAAACAGCATATGGACTGCTTTGCTTTTTTTCATGTGGAGATGGTGGTCTTATATTCTGATATGCACTGAGTGCTTGTTCAGTTAGTATCTGCCTGAGTCCTGTGGTCAGGGTCTATAATGTATCGTAGTGTCCGCATGCCAGTGGAATAAGACAGCATCAGTCACAAACGTGCAGAAAAGGCAGCCGGTCTTTTCCTCCTGTAGTAATTCTTACTCACAAAAAAGAACAAGAAAAGACTGCAGAACAAATTATTTCTTCTTTTGAATTTCTTTTCTTTTGATTGTTCACAAATCATTCAAGGAACTTATGATAATTCTTTTCTAATTTGTGAGACTACTGGAATTATTTCCTGAATAACACTGTATTTTGATCAAACAAAACTTTCTGTCTGTTTATAGCATGCCTTTCTG